TGCGATCATCATAACTCTATCATGTGTCTTTGCCCACAATCTATCACCATAAACCAACTAAGATACTAGTGTTGGTCCCCTCACCATTCGTACTATGTAAATTGGTGAAGGATATAAATTATAAAATGTCTTAATTGATATACAAATTCTAACAGGGCGTTTGGTTGGAGAGGGGAAATTACGTGGGAAAGGAATTGCAATTTCATGGGAGATGAATTACTGGAAATAAAGTGGGAATTTAAATTTCAGTGTTTGGTTTACAGGAATAGAATTCCTGGGAATTTCAATTCCAATGTTTGGTATACATGGTATGGGAATTGAAAGGAAATAAGTAATATAAAGTCCAAAATGTCCATTGTTATTGTCTGGCATTAATTTTATGTTGAAAAAGGAAGGGGTAATTTTGACTCATCACTATCTTTTTTCTTCCTAAAATCTCAGGAATTAAAATCCCAAGGGGGGACATGGGATTTTAATTCCATGAAAATGGAGGAATTGCAATTCCTTTCAACCAAACAAGGGAATTTTGTGGCCTTTGAAATTATGTGGGAATTAAGTGAGAAGGGAATTTAAATTCGCTTCAACCAAACGCCCTGTAAATGGTTGTATATATGCACCTTGTAGTTACTTACATAATAATGTTTTTTTTTTAATTTATTTTGGGTTGATTGGTCAATTGAGCTATTCTAGGGGTAAAGTGAGTTACTTCTATCTAGTAAAAGTAGTAATAAACCAAACAAGTTTATTTGTTGAGCTATGCTAGAGATGCGGGCAAATTATTGTATGGACCATGGTCCACACAATTTGTGTGAACCATGAATATAGGGTACATTTTTAATATATTAAAAATACATTATTTGTGTACTGAAGGTACATTATTTGATAGTGTATATAAAATAATGTATTTTTAATACTAAAATAATGTACTCTCAAATAATGTACTTTTAGTATACAAATAATGTACATTTAGTATATTAAAAATGTACTCTCCCAACAACTGCTTTCTCTCCCTTTTTCATCTGTAAAGGTCCTACAAATCCATCCACCGGCTGACGCTCTAATGGAGGGTTGAGCTGGCGGTGCCATTAGTAGACTCCATTAGGATTAAGCATTAGATCTCAGATTATCTCCGATCGTTTTTCCATAGAAGGCGTCAGAGACTCTCCAGATCTGACAGGTTTTCTATCATATTTTCCATTTATTTTGTTATCTTTTGGTTCTACGTTATTCCTTTGTTCCTTTGACTAGTTTGTTTTCTCTCGTCTCTCTGGCGAGTGTTTCCCTCTCGTTTCTTTGGCGAGTTTTCCTCTCGTTTCTTTGGCGAGTTCTCCTCATAAGCGTGAAATGATAAAATGGTTACATCAGAGTCAGGCTTGGCTATGGTTGACCAGATCTGTGAAGAAGCACCAAGTTCATTCAACAATTTCGGCTTCAAATTTATAAAACAGTCCGCGATCCAAGTTTTCAATAACATTACTAGGAAACTTGTTTCTATGTCTGACTGTAAAGAATGCACTGTCATTCTAACGATCTATATTGTAAACATTTCTGTTTATGATTAATGAATTAGCCTTTTATTTTTTTAAAAAAATGTACTTTTTATTTATGATCCACACAATTGTGTGGATCATGGTCCATGCAATAATGATTGATATATGCGTGGTAAATAAAGAGGAAACGTCAAAGCTACATCAACTATTGATGTGTTTTTTCATTTAGAGGCCGTTGTATTAAATATATCATTTTATTGGGTTTTGTTCATATGATTTTATGGCAGGGAAAATATTACTATTATTCTTTTGTATTAGTCACTTATTACCACAAAACAATTGAACTAACATTATGTAAAATATTATGTAAAACAAAAATACTTACTCCACTTAAATCGATGCTACTGTTAAACTCATTCAAGTATATCTAAAATTGATTCTTTGATGTTGAAGTCACCAACTGATGAAGAGAGAAACGAGAGCTCTGCATTGACGGATGGAAGATAGAAGAAGAACAGAATGGAAAATTAACTCAAACAAGCAGAGCGCAACTCCCTCTTATATTATGGAGGGAGAAGCGGTTACAACGGAATTGTGAATGGAATTACATTGTTGCCGCCCTTTCGGCTTATCCGAAATACTATTGTGATCCTTCATCACCCCCCCCCCCCCCCCCGTAAGCTGGCGTGTACAGATCTTGGACTCCCAGCTTAGAGTTGAAGGCGTGAAACATGGAAGTAGAGAGGGCTTTAGTGAAGCCATCAGCTATTTGGCGTGTGGATGGAATAGACAAAAGCTTGATTAAGCCTTGAGACAATTTCTCCCTGACAATATGACAGTCGATCTCAATGTGTTTGGTTCGCTCGTGAAAGACGGAATTTTCACCAATTGCTACTACCGATTTGTTATCACAGAATAGCACTGCCGGTTTCTTCAGTTTAATATGCAAGTCATTGAGCAGAAAAACAATCCATTGAACTTCGCATGTAGCAGCTGCTAGAGCTCGGTATTCTGCCTCGGATGAGGATCGGGAGATGGTCGGTTGCTTTTTAGATTTCCAGGAGATCATTGCTGCCCCAAGAAAGACACAGTAGCCGGTGACCGATTTTCGTGTTTCCGGACAAGATGCCCAGTCTGAGTCCGATAAAACATTGAGATGCAAGTCACCATTCTTAGGATAGAAAAGCCCTTGCCCAGGGGCTGTCTTGATATAGCGTAGCACCCGGTGAGCAGCACTTAGATGTTTATCAGTGGGAGCATCTACAAATTGGCTAAGTTGATGAACCGCATATGTGATGTCCGGTCTGGTGGTAGTAAGATATAACAATCGGCCAACCAAGCGTCTATAGCAGCCTGCATCCGTTAGTAGAGTGCCATCATCATGTTGCAGATGCTGCCCTGGCACCATGGGTGTGGCTACCGGCTTACAATCAAGAAATCCAGCTTCGGTAAGAATGTCTAAAGTGTACTTGCGCTGACATAAGTTCAGCCTCTTCTCACTTAGATGTGCCTCAATGCCAAGAAAATAACCCAGCTGCCCCAAGTCTTTGATCTTAAAGGCATCATCCAGGAATTTCTTCAAATCATCAATCATTTGTAGGCTGGGACTAGCTACTATTATGTCATCAACATAGACTAAGACTGCAAGGAAGGTGGCCTCATCTCCCATGGTGAACAAGGATGGATCAGATTTAGCTTGACTAAACCCCTTGTTAATAAGAGCAGTACTGAGCTTGGTATTCCATTGACGGCTTGCTTGTTTAAGCCCATAGAGAGAACGTAATAATCGACATACTTGATTAGGTTTGTCTGTTTGGAATCCGGGTGGTAAATGCATATAAACTTCTTCAGTCAAATCACCATGAAGAAACGCATTGTTTATGTCTAATTGGTGGATATGCCAATTGAGAGAAGAAGCTACGGCCAGAATGGTTCTTATAGTGGACAGCCTTGCAACCGGGGAAAAAGTCTCCAAGTAATCAACTCCCAGTTGCTGTGTATATCCTTTTGCAACAAGGCGAGCCTTATATTGTTCAATAGAGCCATCGGAACGGAGCTTAACTTTATACACCCACTTACATCCAATGTGGATCTTTCCAGGTGGTAAGGCAGTCAATTCCCATGTATGATTGTCTTGCAAAGCCTTAATTTCTGCAGCCATTGCTTGCTTCCAACAGTCATGACGAATGGCTTGATTGTAGAACTTTGGTTCACTGACTGAGCTAACTGCCATGGAAAAAACTCTGTGAGGCAAAGAAAGACCATCAAGAGAAGTAACCTTTGAAAGAGGATGAGGAGAGCTTTTGGAGGCTACAGAGTCACAGTAATAATCAAATAGCTTGCTGGGAAGCTTTCGATTTCTGTTAGATCTCCTGGGCTGTGTAGAGGCATGATCCTGACTGGGAGCTTCAGATATCAGATTGTGTGGGCTATTGTGATCCTCATGACTAATATCATGAGGGGAACCAAGCTGGAAATCTGTTGCTTCTGTGTCATATGGCATATTTCTTGCATCAAGAGGGACATCATCATATGATATGATGTTATTGTGAGTACTGGAATGAGAGTTTGCTGCAGTATCAAGGGGCACTTTGTCTGGAGTAATAGGAGAGGTATATGTGCAGGGAAAATCAGCAAAAATATTTGGTAAGGGAGGCCCTGAAGATAAATCTTGTGTGGACTCTTGTGTGGGCTCATTAGAATAGGGAAATATTTGTTCATAGAAGAGAACATCTCTGGACACAAACATGAGCCTATCTTGAAGATCAAATAACAAATACCCCTTAATATGATCTGGTATCCCAAGAAACACACATCTCCTACCTCTTTTTGCCATTTTGTGTCTAGAAGCAGGTAAGGTAGAAGCATAACATAAGCAACCAAATACCTTCATTTTCGAGAGATCAGGCTCTTTCCCATAAAGCCGAGAATATGGACTTGACATCCCAATTACTGGTGATGGCAATCTATTTATAACAAAAGCAGCATGCAACATGCAATGTCCCCAAAATTCAAGAGGGAGGGAAGCTTGGAAACAAATAGCCCTTGCCACATTGAGTATGTGTTGGTGCTTTCGTTCAACAACAGCATTCTGCTGAGGGGTATAAACACAAGTCCTTTGGTGAATCATGCCTTTTTCTGCATAGAAATCAGAGAGGTTGAATTCAAGGCCATTGTCAGTTCTAATGGTCTTGATCAACACCCCGAATTGTGTGTTAACATAAGCATGAAAACTCTTTATCAGTTGTCTAGTTTCAGACTTGTGTTTCATTAGATGAATCCAAGTGAAGCGGGAGAAATCATCAACTAATGTTCAGAAATATCGATCCCCATCCAAGGACTTAATATGAAAGGGCCCCCAAATATCTGCGTGAACAAGATCAAAAGATGCATTTGAAGTAGTAACACTTAGAGGAAAAGGAGATCTTTTATGTTTGGCCAAATGGCAAATATCACAATGTTCTAATTTTGCACCAGAAATTTTAATAGCTTTCAAACAATGAAGCTTATTCATAGGGAAATAGCCAAGTCTTTGATGCTATATTCTACTATCATCATACTGGACAGCTGAGCTTTGATGATGGCATGTTGATTTCTGAGGTGGTTCCAGTAATAAGTAAAGGCCTCTTTCTTGTCTAGCTGAACCAAGAGTCTTCCATGAGCCCCCTGAATGATGCATTTTCCAGACATAAAAGTTAGACCACAACAGAAATCCTGCAACAACTTACTCACCGAGATGATATTGAACTTGAATGAGGGTATGTGGAGGGCATCCCTTAGCCATAAATCTTCATTTAGCCTGACATCTCCTTTATGTTGGACTGTTATTCCCTCACCAGTAGGCAGATTCACCTCAACATCATATACAGCATGATATTTATCAAAATATTCAAGGGCACAAACTATGTGGTCTGTAGCCCCGGAGTCAATGGTCCAAACAGTATCACACAAGAACAGGGAGTTAATATTAACATTAATTTCAGAACACTTGCCTTGATCATTAGGTGCCTCCTTGAATTCTGGAATGAGGGTGATAGCTGCAGAGGTGTTAGATGATGGCTTGACAGGTTGGTTTTGAAGGAGACTGATCAGCTTCTGTATTTGATCAGAGGTTATTCCAAGGTCTGTTATGCTGCTAGATCCAGTTGCAACATTCATAGATTGCTTGGCCTTAGATTTGAATCCCGGCACCCATCCTAGTGGGTAGCCGTGTTTCTTATAACATTTGTCAACGGTATGTCCATTCATACCACAAAAGGTACATTTAGCTCCCTTGCTCCCATTATTATTACGTTTGAAGTTGTAAGAATTATGAGAGTTCATAGCAGCTATCACCTCATTATTACCACTGAAATTCTGGTTGTGCACATTCGTACCAGTAGCTTCCTGGCCATTAGAATCCTGAGTGTGAACAGCATTGGCTTGGTTCATTTCCAGACTTCCTGTACTCCAATTTACCAGGTTGATCTGCCTCTCTAGTTTCTCCGCCATGACGAAGACCTTATAAACTTCAGGTAACGGATCAAGGATGAGAACATTAGCTTTTAAGTTGGCATAATCTTCGTTGAGTCCTTGAAGGAAACGAATAACGCGATCAATGTCGCGATCTCTCCTGATCTCCTCAACAAGATCACATGGACACCTAGGATCACACTTGCAACACTTGCAGATTGGCAGTGGACGCAAGGTATTCATCTCCTCCCATAAGGTTTTGCACCTTGTATAATACTCATTAACAGAGAGATTATTCTGTTTGAGTCCATAGATCTCATTTTGCAATGTAGAGATCCTTTGAGCATCACACTGTGAGAATCTCTTCCTGAGATCATCCCAAACTTCCTTCGCTTGATCTAGATGCATAATACTAGCAGCAATAGACGGATGCACTGACCTGAATATCCATGAACAGATGATCAAGTTACAGCGTCTCCAAGCACCGTGCTCAATACTTTCGCGATTCGGCATCGGAACGCTTCCTTCGATGAAGGACCACTTGTTCTTAACTTCCAATGCAATTCGCATTGAGATACACCAAGCGGCATAATTAGAGCTGCCGATTAAAGGAGGATTCACGAGCACTGTGCTCGGATTGTCTGTGGAACTGAGGAAGAGAGGATTCGCCATCTCCTCCAGGCTAGAATTTCGAGCTGATGTCCTCTGTGGAATCGTGGATGAAGCTTCTGTTTGGACTGGAGAAGCTGCCGGCTGAGCTTGTTGATTCATCTCGCCGGTGAGAACTGCAGCGTAAGAGCCCCTACCGTGCTCTGATACCATGATGAAGAGAGAAACGAGAGCTCTGCATTGACGGATGGAAGATAGAAGAAGAACAGAATGGAAAATTAACTCAAACAAGCAGAGCGCAACTCCCTCTTATATTATGGAGGGAGAAGCGGTTACAACGAAATTGTGAATGGAATTACATTGTTGCCCTTTCGGCTTATCCGAAATACTAATTGGCCAACTACACTAATTGGCCAGCATTTGTCGTGACTTCATCAACCTTGTGAAATATTGAAGCAAACGCAGGAGACGAGGGCGTGACAACGATTGGTTGAGTCTTACAGTCAAAATCTTTGATTCCTAGACATTTAATTGGCCGGTAGTGCTTGCCTCTTCAACTGATTCCATCACAATAAGTGGTGGCTTCTACATACTTAGTAACAACAATGTTTCTGGTTCAATCTCATCTGTTCTATAAAATGTAAAAAGTTTAGTACAATTGTAGCTCCATACAAACTAGATTTCATGATTGATTCCTTTAGAGTTGGGAAATTTGTCGAGCCTTGAAGTGTTTTTTTGGTTGGGTGAATAAGACTGAAGGTAGTGTGCATCATTGGTTTCCTTTAGTTTAGCACTAATCTAACTCACTTTTGAAAAATGGGAGTTGGAAGGAGACATGAACACCATGTATTTGATGAATTGCTTCAATTGGCTTGAGTCACCATGAGAGTGGGACTAAAATCCAAATGAGAGTCCAATCTTCACGAGATCAGAGTGGCATTGGCATTTAATAGTTTCTCTCTAGTTCCGCTGTCAATGCATTACATGAGCTCTAACTAATGATACACTATACCATCTACACTTAAGTGACATATTCCAAGCCCTTAGTTTTACTATTGGTTGTTAATTACCTTAGTCAATTACTTTACCATTGCACCTAGTTGTTCTTTAATAGCTTGCAACTCACTCTTGAACTAGCTTACAAACACTCTACACTCTTGTGCTTAATCGCCTACTATTCAACACCCTTCAGGTCTACTCCTTGAGACGATATCCGGTGTGAGGATACCTTCTCTCGCACACTCTATTTCCATCACCACTAAAACCAATTTTTAGGTTAACAATCACTTTTTTTTTTTTTTTTTTTTTTTTTTTTGCCATTGGAGTGTAACAAAAATTTCAAAATTGTTTTGGTTCCCAAAGTTTACTAAATATTACGAATTTAAATACTTTGTTATTTTCATGTTAATAAGTTGGAGTGGGTCTTCAATCTATAAGCACTCTCAATTCATATGTCACCATTTCAATTTTCTTTTTAAAAAACAATAATATTACCACAATTTCATTTTCAATTTTCCATTTGCATCAAGACATCAAAAGCATTGACATATATAAAACAAAATTATTACTACATATTAAATAGTAAAGAAATGTTAATACGAAAAACGAATATGAATATACATATTATAATTCACAAATCAATAAAATGACTAATATGAATTTTAATAATTTGAAATTTGAAATGCAATGTTAATTTTAATAGAATTTGTTAGTAATGAATTACAATTACCACTTTTTTTTTTTTTTTTTTTTTTTGTGGTGAGGTTACAACTTACAACTACCACTTTACATATAATTAAAGGTGAAAATATGTATATGGTAATAATTATTGGATTGAGTTTACAGTATATGTATAATTAATTAATGGACAAAAATCGTCACTTTCCTTATAATTATTATATTTACAAATGATGTATATTATTTTTTGTATTTATTGTGATTCTCATATATAAGTAATAACTTGTTGAAAAAGGACGATGACTTGAAATACCTATTTTATCTTTATGAAAAAAAATTACCATTTTAAAAAATAATTGAGGAGATAAATGTGAATACATTAATAATTAATGAAAAAACAATAATATATAAGTAATTTTAAGGGGAAAATGTCATTTTTCTTTTTAAATATATAAATTTTTTAAATTGTGATTTTATACAGTCGGTGCGCACCTTTTTTCTTACGATCAACTAACTCATTAATAAATGATTTGTTGCCTTAAACGTATAACTAGGATTTGTCTTGTGGTATCCCAAAAACTTTTAGGCAAACACTTGACTGAGACCGTGTCATATATCCTTATTCGTGAAATGGATCGGGTTAAAATTAAATATAATATTTATAATAAAAAATATAATATTAATAAGATAAAACTTGTTAAAATTACTTATACGAGAAATGTAATACTTTTGAAGAAAAAATATAATATTTTTATATTTTGATTTAAAGGTATTAATAATCTTTCTCAAAAGTATTACATTTTCTTTTATAAGTAATAAACACTTGCTGACATTACTTATAAAAGAAAATATAATACTTTTGATGAAAAATGTAATATTTTTACATCAAAATGTAAAAGTATTATATTTTTTCTTATAAGTAACAAATACTTTATTCCTAATTAGTATTATATTTTTCATAATGTCCCGATCTGACTTAACATGTCTCACGGATAAGGATTCGTGAAACGATTTCACACAAGTGTGACCTAAATTTTTAATATAATTTTTTTTTTGAGTTAATTCGAGTAAAGGTCCTCGACTATAGTGATTTTTCAGATATGGTCCTCGTCTTTTAATTTGTCCAAATTTGATACTTGACTATCAAATTCTTTCCACCATTGGTCCTTTCGTTACCTAAGCGTTATTTAGACATCAATTTTAGGAGTAAAATTGTACTTTCATTGTCTGGGTGTCTTCTTCTTCAGCATACAAGCCAAAACAACATGCTAATACTTCAAGAAAGTTGCATAGACTCCCCAGGCAGCCTAGTGGTGTACAATCCGTTGGACTTGCCGGCAATCAACATGGCGATGATGTGAATGAAGAGTTTCAACATACATGTATGTAGTCGATGACGTTGCTACTCCTCAAACTCCAATCAACGACGCGACTTGGAGTCGCAAGCAGCAGACAGTGAGTGGCAGCAAAGGTAGAGGGATGAGGTACTGAGTCTCGAAAAATGGTGGTGAACGGCGCTGCTTCCTTTCGTCGGCTTGGCTGGCGACTCCATCTCTCTCCATTCGGCGTCTCTCTCTCTCTCTCTCTCTCTCTCTCTCTCTCTCTCTCTCTCGTTTGGCTGCAGATGAATGGAAATGAAGGCAGCTGCTAGGGTCATGGCTAATTAAACATGGAGAACATGAAGCCTTTAAGAGAAGAAAAATGGTGAGGTCTAAGAGAAGAAAAGTTGCCAGATCTTGTTCTCATTTGACGACTATGTTGTGGAATTTGAGCCGGGAGCAGGGGATTAAGTTTCTAGCGAACAGATTCCGCCAAATCTTGTTCTCATTTGGCGATTGGTCGAGTTGCCGAGAAACTACATGCCTTTATATTTGCGATTGCCCGGGTTGTTCTGATTTGGATTTTGGATAGACTGGCCTAAGAAGACAACCCAACCAATGAAAGGACTATTTTGCCCCTAAAATTAAAGTCTAAATAACGCTAAGATGATGAAAAGACCAATAATGGAAATATTTTGATAGTCAAGTGTCAAATTTGTCCAAATTAAAAGACAATGACTAAATGTGAAAAATCACTATAGTCGAAGGACCTTTGCTAGAATTAACTCATTTTTTATTCATATTATAATTGTAAATATTAGATTTAGTTTAGATTCCTTAATTTTTGCAAATAATTAATTGTTTATGGAATATTTGGTAAATAGCTGTTAGCTGATTGTGTGAGTGAGTTTAACTAATTGATAGCATTAGCTGATTGTAAAGATGTTTGTGGTAATTTGGTTGTTAGCTAATAGTTGATTATATACAAAATTACTTTTAAAAAAGTTTATCAAAAAAGTTATTTTAAATAACTTTTTAAATTTTAACATTTGGAGCAATAAATTATTACAAAAAAATTAATTAATTAATTACTTATATTAATTATTTAATCAAGTTAAATAGCTAATAATGATTAAATAAATCAAAATTATTTGATAAGCTATATATTACCAAACATGGCATGTAATTTAACAATAAGATAACAGCTTGTCGGGGCATAAGGGTCAACCCATGTACGATGGTTCGTTAAACATTTAATGTGGATTGTGGACTATTCTACAGACTTGGTCCACCTCAAAATTGGCACATTTAACTACTTTCGTTGAGATTCACGAAAACAACATCATCAATAGATTCAGATTAATTAATTTAAGATTAAGGTTTTGGTAAAATTGATTAATTAATTTAAAATTAAGGTTTTGGTAAAATTTATGCAACAAAGTTCGTTCACAAAGATGTAAATTAGCCGTTTTATTTAAAAAGAATGGAATCACAGGTAACTCAACTAAATTAGTCACTATTAACTTGGTAATGGGTAACTACCAAGTCCCAAATGCGGAAATGCGGGCTATTAGTTTAATAACTACAATGTTTTAAATTTGATTTCTAGTAAAAATTATAAGTTAATTATTGAAATGATTCTTGACTATAGCGAAATTACTAATTTAATTCTTAACTATTTTTTTTGACTAATTAAGTCCATCAACTTTAGTTTTGTCGTTAGACATTCGTTAAGTCATGATCAAATTGGTAATTTTGCTATAGTCAATGGACCATTTCAGTACATAACTTTAAAATTTTTCAATTTTGGTGCTTAATTTTGTTATTTTTATTAGTTTTGGTCTTTTTGACCAAATTAACAACAAAATATTACCGAATTTTATATTTTTAGGAATAAAATCATCATCTCAAAGAAACGTCTTCAATATCTAAACAAAACCACGATAAAATCATATTTATATATGTTTGATCAATGAGAATAATGGGGAAGACGTGCAGAAACTAACTATAGATCTATAGAATTTATAGCGTCGACGATGGCAAACTCTTCTTTTTCTCTTAATTCCAAAATGGTCCCTTAACTATAGAGAAATTATCAATTTGGTCACGAGTTAACAGAACCCTAACAGCAAAACAAATGGATGACCAAATTGGTTAAAATTTTTAAAATTGAAGGACTTAATTGGTCAACAAAATTAATCAAGGACCAAATTGATAATTTCAGTATAGTCAAGGGACTATTTTAGTCATTAACTCAAAAAGTTAATCTTTTGCTAGTTTAAATCACCATTCGGGTCCCTCGTCACCCAAAAAAAAAAAAAAAATCCAATCACTAGTAGTTAATATGAAGACAAGCCAACATTGATGTTTCAATACTTTTTTTCTGGTGGTATGGGTTTTACCAACCTCTTAGGGGCTTAGATGATCTAGTGCAACCAATGTTTGCCCAGAAACTTCAAATTCTGCCTCATTAGTCATGACTAATATATTATATATGTTGTCTGCTCTCTGCTTTTAGTGTATTTCATCAAGGATGCTGCTGCTAGAACACTCATTTGAACCTGTCACACCTGACATGGTGAGAGGAGAGATTGGGTGCAGCAACTTTTTACCCCCGCGGGAATATAGACGGGGGAGATTTCCCATCACCCCCGGAGACTTGTTTCATTGCCATTTAGTTCCCTGCCGGGATGGAGATGGGGATGTGTGAGGAATGAGGATTTCCCGAGCCAGGGGATGGAGAGCATACTCCCGTGTTGCCATTCCTAGATAGTTGTTCTCCGCGGGGATGGGGATTTCCCATCCCTGCAAGGGTCGGAGAGCATACTCCTTGTCCCGCTCTATTGCCATTCTTAAACACAATCAATATCCTTTGCGCTATTCACTCAGTCCAGTCTTTCTGCCTGGTCCATGTTAGGCTAAGAAGACAAAACCTTTGGCCTCACAACTATCTGTAGAGTAACTTCTAAAGTAAGGATGCATATATAAACATAAGAATGCAGCTTCATTGGCATCAACATGACAGACATTGTAACACTAATCTACACTACAAATGTATGTACACAGAGAACATCCAACCACAGATAAGCTTCACCCTAGTTCATTAAAAACTAGCCAAGAAACCGAGTCGCCCATATTCTCATCATCAACAATAAACACCAATAGCAAAGAAAGAAAGTGTGTCTGTGGCAGTTCTATCAAAAACTTGCAACCTTTAACTCACAACATATAGTGGAAGCAGAAACCATATAGGCATCCACTAGAGTTGCAATGTTAATAAGGAATCATAAAACATGATGATGGTTTGGAAGACACCAATCACCAACTTAAAAGAATTCCATTCATAATATCAATTAAGTTTTGCAGGTGATGAGGCAACTCCAGCCAAGTTGGTCAGGATGTTAGCTTGATAATCAGAAGGTTCCAAGTTAGACTCTGTGCGGTCTATTGACCTTTTTAGTTTGAGCCATTCAGCTATGAACAACCTGGGTTGGTTTACCTTTTTGTGGTCTTTTACTGTCACAGGGCGGGATTTTTTCGGTACACAACCACCCTAATTAAGTTTTGCATGTGGAAACCAAAGTACACCATAGAAATGATATCAAAAATCATGTCATTCCAATGATTTCTACTAGTTTCTAATCATAAGTGTTCAATGCTAAAACAACAGTCATCAACAAAACACAGGGAGGGCATTTAAGATCAACAATTTGTGCATCAAAGCACAATCTGAGGTTGCATTTAAACCTCAATAATCACACTTCTACCTTTCATAGCCTATCTCACTCGGAGCGGTTGGCATACCTTTCCACCTTGTCATCATTGAGGTTGATTCCAACCATGGCTTCTCCCAGTCCGCAGCTTATGTCAGCCAACACCTCCGGATCACTGTAATGGGTGACCGCCTGCACGATGGCGCGGGCCCTCCTGGCCGGATCGCCGCTCTTGAAAACGCCGGAGCCGACGAACACGCCGTCGCATCCGAGCTGCATCATCAGCGCGGCATCGGCAGGGGTCGCCACCCCGCCAGCGGCGAAGTGGACCACGGGAAGCCTGCCTAGCTGCTTGGTCTGCATAACGAGATCATAGGGGGCCTGAATCTTCTTGGCGAAGGTGAACACCTCGTCGTCGTCCATGTTCCGGAGGACCCGGATGTCGCCCATCACGGAGCGGACGTGGCGGACGGCCTCGATGATGTTGCCGGTGCCCGCCTCGCCCTTGGTGCGGATCATCGCGGCCCCCTCCCGGACGCGGCGGAGGGCTTCGCCCAGGTTCCGGCAGCCGCACACGAAGGGGATGCGGAAATTGTGCTTGTTGATATGGTTCTCGTCGTCGGCGAGGGTGAGGACCTCCGATTCATCCACGTAATCAATCCCAATAGCCTCGAGAATCTGCGCCTCCACGAAATGCCCAATCCGGGCCTTCGCCATCACCGGAATAGTCACCGCCTGCTTGATCTCCTTAATCAGCTGAGGGTCGGACATGCGGGCCACGCCGCCCTGAGCTCTTATATCCGCGGGGACGCGCTCCAGAGCCATGACGGCGCACGCGCCGGCCTCCTCGGCAATACGGGCCTGCTCCGCGTTGACGACGTCCATGATCACGCCGCCACGGAGCATTTGTGCCAGCCCCACCTTCACGGAGAAGGGGGATTTCTTGGTGGTCTCGGCGATAGCGCCGTTAGAATAGAGTGTAACGACACCGCTCCCAGACATCTTTAGCTCTGATTTCCGGTGAACGATTGCCGGAAGCGCGTAGGTATAGATGAGAAGAAGAAGAAGAAATGCAGCCGCAGAGAAGCCGAATCCGTGAGTGGCTGTGGCTGTGGCTGTGGCCTGTGGCGGTGGATTTTGTGTTTGTGGATCTCATATTAAAATTAAAATGTGTACGGATAATTGTTAAAAAAACAAAAAAACTGCACTTCATAACACATTTTAAACTTGATTTTTACTTAGTAAGTAAGAATTTGATTTACAAGAAAATACTATTAATTTGTGAACTTTGAGTAATGAGATAAATTCACACTTACTATTTGAGAAGAGTGTGTTGGGGATAAATCTTGTTTTGTAACTTTAGGTAATAAATAATTATAAAAATGTAAACTAATATAGATTGTTTATAATTTCTCCTAAAATATTGAATCCCAATTTCAAGGGCTCTTCACGACACGATAGAGAATGTGAGATGATGTAAATTCAGGATAACTTAATGACTTAATAGATAGGGTGCACAAGTGGTCTGTTCATTTTAGGCACACCTACATTACTGCTGAGTTTTGAACTTTAATCTCTTCTCCAAAATATTGTCTTTTGAATCAATGAACTTAGTCCATGCACACATGTTGTCCATAACTAATTGGCTTGTGAGGTGCAATTTAAGTGAAGTATGTTTTGTAGCCTTAGGGCTTCCCCAATAGAGCAACTTTCACAGTTTTTAATAAAATTTATGTCAATATGGAAGAGAGAGGGACAAGTGAGAGAAGATGAAAATTACTCTTGTAAATATGAGATTTTTCATATGAAGTGGGACCTGCCACAAATTAATGTCAGCTACCTGTCTCTCGCGTGAGAGTCATTCTAGCCTTATTTACAACTTTTTTTTTTTTTCTCAACTCTCATCTTCTCTTTTCTAATAACACTTACAAAAACTCTTCAAAAATCACAAAAGAAACTCTACTATTAAGGAGGCCCTTAGCAAAGATTAAAATAAAGTAAAATGAAATAGCTTGAACTTGCCAATTACCTAGTTAGGCCATACATTTGCCGTTCTTTTATTTTTTAGTAAACCTCTAAAATGTAAGTCGTTGTAGTATAGTGGTGAGTATACCCGCCTGTCACGCGGGTGACCCGGGTTCGATCCCCGGCAACGGCGTTGGTTTTTAAATGTTAATTTTGTGGGCCGCTTTATTCAGTTTATGGGCCTGATTACAATTTTGGCTCGTCACATGGTCCAGGAGGTTTAGTTCTCTGAAGGCCCATGAAGTTCCAGCCAATGGCATCGCGGGGTGTGGACTCGTCTGCTTACGTGGGATCTTCTCATTGGCTTATTCTCCCACCCCCACGTTAATTTTTATATATATACGCGCTTCCCTTGTTCAGTCTTCACTCACATAGCTAGTAGTTAGCTGAGACTCGGAGACCTTAGCGGAGTGAAAATGGCGAAAACGAGGCTGCAAACTGTCGTACTGCTCGTCTTCCTCTTCGGAACTCTTGCGGCTCTTTCTCAGGTTCCTTTTCAATCTCGTGCTTTTTGTTAATCTCCTATTAAAAAAAAGCGTTGTTTCTGTTTTGATGCTATTTCTGCTTTGGTTCATCAGATGTTATTCTGTTTCATTTGATTGTGGTATGTGAGTGCAACAATTGATGTCTCTGTGAATTCGTATTTAGATCGCGTTTCTTGTGAGCGATCGCACTGATTTAGTACACTGTACACTGCAAGTTTAGGATATTGTTCGTTGACTAATTGTGGTGTTATGTTATTTTATATTTTCGTAAGGATTTCATTTTTAATCTCTTTTTGTGCTTCTGAAGTAGTTTTGATAATCTGTTGTGGATCTGCTGTTGAATTACTCTTATAATAATATAATATGCTGTTTAGCGATCTCTGATTTTGAAATATGTTTTTCCATGTTCGTCTCTCTGCTCTGGATTATACACACTACACAGTAGTTGATTTCTTATGTTTTTGCTGTCACACGAGAATTTGATGTATTAATATAACTCAAACTTCTATAAACTATATGATATGATGATATGCCTCATTGAGTATATCAAAACATGGTGGAGTGGAGTCTCAAGAAACAAAAAACCTTCCCCAAAATACAAATGCACATAAATTCATTTTTGTTTTCTTTGGTGTGTAAAATGGGTTAGAGAACCACATTTATTTTTGTGGCCTTATATGTTCTGCTGACAAAAATCATGTGAGAGTGATATATGCTTCACAGTGTGACAAATGTTGACATTTTTAGTTTTTACTTACAGGCAAAGAAGTCTAAGAATTTGAAAGAAGTAACTCATAAAGTTTTCTTTGATGTTGAGGTTGATGGAAAACCTGCTGGTATGTTCTGTAGCTTTTCACCGAGTTATTTTGCATTAGCTCTTTCTATATTTGTGCAATATTCTACTATCTGGCAGCATCTTGCAAAAGCAATGTACATGTTAGTAGATTGATAAAACATAGGACCATTTACTTTCAGGGCGTATTGTTATTGGTCTCTTTGGAAAGGCAGTTCCTAAAACAGCAGGTATAATAGCATTTCATGAGTGTAATATTGTGATTTCATGGTTTACCTTTTCCAGTAATTTTTAAATTTTTTTGGTTTGTTCTTGCAGAGAACTTTAGAGCATTGTGCACAGGTAAGCTTATCCCATCTGCTTTCCTCACTGCTTGTTAGAAAATTATAGATGCTTCAGCCCAGCTTTAGATGGTGTTTCTTCCCCTCTGTAGAGATTTGGCAGCAGAGTTCCAGAGTGAATTTATCTTGATTAATTTTAAAATTTGCATACATTTTAATAAATTTTTAGGGGAGAAAGGTATTGGAAAGAGTGGCAAGCCTCTACATTACAAAGGAAGCGTATTCCACAGAATTATTCCCAGCTTCATGATCCAAGGTGGTGACTTTACCCTTGGCGATGGCCGGGGTGGGGAGTCAATTTATGGGGAGAAGTTTGCTGATGAAAATTTCAAGCTCAAGCACACCGGCCCAGGTGTCCCATGTTTCCTAAAATTAACTTGACTTGGCATGATCATGATCACGATTAATCATGGAAGTTACTCTCATTTATGAATTTGCAGGCCTTCTGTCAATGGCAAATGCTGGTCCTGACACCAATGGTTCACAATTCTTCATCACAACCGTCACAACTAGCTGGTAACTACTCAGCCCTGGCTTTTTGCAAACTTACTTTCCACTATTTCTTGACATAATTCTGTTGATAAATTAGACTACTTGCTACTTTTAGTAACCTTAAACGCATGAACTCTTATTATTCCCCCCCTAGGTTGGATGGCCGACATGTTGTTTTTGGAAAGGTGTTATCTGGGATGGATGTGGTCTACAAGGTTGAAGCAGAAGGAATGCAGAGTGGTACACCAAAGAGCAAAGTTATAATTGCAGACAGTGGTGAACTCCCTCTGTGAGGTTTCTTAGCAGAGATCTACAGATATCTATTGTCTAGCATTTCTCAGTTAGCGTTTCTCAGTACAACTTTAATTACTAATGACTGAGCCTTAGATTTCCAACTATGCACCACATACCATAGTGTTATTTGCAATTAGACCTGATAAATACATTTTGTGTTATTTCAGTTTTTGTTTTTCTTAAGCCTAAAAGATTTATTTTTATTTTTAATAACATCAATTACATAAGAATTAATAACATTAAGATGAGATTTAAAACATTACAGTAAAGTAATACAACTGATGAATTCATGGAGAAAGTTGGAGAGAACACTGTACATATAACCACTGGGTTACACTCTCTAGTTTACAATTGACACTTTGACAGGTTGGTCTAGTAACAAAGCAAGAGTTATGAGGTTATAAATTACTAGCAATTCCTCTAGCTGGGCTGACTATTCACTCAGTCGTTATCACTATCATCAGAATATAGAAAGCTGAAGTTTGTTTGTCCATGAAGCTTGATGAGCAATGTTCCCCTATTCTCCTCACTCCACTTGATTCCTTCCTTCTCTAATAGATTTATTACCTGTGCACAATAGCAGCTTAAAGTAAGAACCTAAAACTGAGAAGGTAATATAAAAATCGACATAGATCCAGTAAGTTTAAACCAAGAGGAGGAGAAAAGGGTGAATCTTAAGTGTTTTCTGGTATAAGGTTCAAGGTTTGTGATACATACTGTGAGTTTCAGCTTGGATTTCCCGACACCTTGGCCCCCGCATCCAGTGATTACTCTGAATAATCGCACAGCTGGAGAAGTAGAAACAGAACACAATCAATCAATCTACATAGTCTTTTTGTTTACCAATATCGAGCAAGCTAAATACACAAATCAAAGATAATTACAGCATCCGAATGCACCAAATAGAAGGTGAAGTTTCAAGAGCCTCATTGCTTCTTTGACATGCTGCCCGTGCAAGTCGATAGTAATAATGTTTTCTATGCTCTTATTTCTGCAAACAAATACATAGCTCTGTTCAACACAAAAGTTCATATAGGACACCCAACAAAAACAAAACAAAAGGATTCACCTGGCTTCAAATATATTCTGGCTAGCCTTTTCCTCAGCCTCCAGAGCCTTCCTGTTTTGTACCCTGCCCTGTGAAAGGGTCCACAGAAAGGAAACATGTTGGTACCAACACATAGGATAATAGCACTATCACAATCTGTGACCACTTATTATTCTGTATACCACAATCAACTACACATCCTAAATGGTAGTTCAGATTAACACAACACAACTAAATCAACTTGAAACCTTAACATAGATCCAGGTTCACGCCAGAAATGATCAAACACTACAAAGTGCTAAGTGTATATGAATACATAGCATGGCATCAGACCCAAATGTGAAGGCAACATACCTGATCAGCAAGATGAGCAGCATATTGCCGTTCACCATTGGCAAAAGCTGAAGCAGCCTGCAAAAGAATTGAGCCTATCAAGCTTCTTGTGAATAAAATGGGTAATCTAAGAGTTAATCTTATATAGTAGTACCTTTTGATAGTACGATTTCATTGATTCCCAGTGACATGTTGAAGCTTCTCTGAAGACCTGGTAGTCATCTCCTTTAGCTACAATTTGGAAGAAGTATGTTGCAAATAGTCGTTAAATCTATTATCCAACCCCAAGAAATGCACATATATACAGGTAATTGACGGTATTC